TGAGCAGGTCGCAGATATCGCACACTGAAACGCTTGAGTGTGTCATCTGTAACCTTGGTAAGGCCAAACATTGTATCAGCCAGCTGAACCTCTTCCTCATCAGGCAGCTCCCAGAGAGGTACTGCTCGGTTCCAGATCCTCCGGACCTCCTCGCTGTCCTCAAATTCTGGAGCCTTACTAAGCAGAAGCCCCTCCTTGGCCCCATCCCCTCGCCCCTCCACGCTGGCCTGGAAGTCTTCCCAGCTCCCCTCTGCTAGGCTGGTCATGCAGAGAAAGCGGCCTGTAGTCTTGTCAATGAAGAGGCTGAAGGAAGTGGTAACACCAGTCTGGTCTTTGAGCCGCGAAGACTCTGCAAAGGGGCTCAGTGCCCGCAGGCAACTGTGGCCATCCTGGAAGGGGATCCCATGCCCCCGCAAATACTGGCGGATTTCGGTTGCAGTTACAGGCAACACTGGCATCTCCAAGGCTTGGAGAGTCTCCTTCCCGTACCTTCTGCGAGGAGGGCCTGGGGCCAAGTTTCGGGGCAGGCCCCTCCGACCCATCCACTCCCCACGCAGGGGTAGCAAGATACGGAGGGGGTACCCACCTCTGAGGCGGGCCCACATTCCTAGCCAAATGTAGGAAGTCACTACTTGAAATGCCTTAGGTGCCTGGTTAGCGTGCCTTCACTAGACCAGACTCTATGGATACCCCACGCAGCACTCTGCAGAGCTCACTCTAGGTGCCTTCTTTCTCTCCATGAATTTCTCCTCTTCAACCCCTCTACCCTGCTGCTTAACACATATGCCCATCTACACGACCCTTTCACGTCCACGTCCTTCTACAACGGCTCCCTCACTTCTATGGTCCGTTACAGTTTCTCTCCACCACCTCACCTCTATGACCCTCTACACAGTTCCTCACTGATATAGTTTCTCTGCATCATCTTCTCACCTCTACTGCCCCTCCACGGCATCTCCTCGTCGTCCTCATTTCTATAGCCACCTGCATCCTTTTTGTAGTCCCTTTGCCCTGGACCCCGACTAGAGACCCTCTTCCCCTGCTCCTTCCCCTCACTGGGACCTCAACACAGCGAGAGCACCCAGCACGACTCCCGCCAATCCTCGGGCCCAAAGGAATGCCTGTCTCTATCCTCCCCCGTGTCTTCACTCCGCTCTACTACTCCGAGCTCCGCCGCGCCGGTCCCCGGCCTCGGGTTACCACTCTTATTCTCCCGCTTAGCCCGCAACGTGAGCCTCCAGCACACGCTGCTCGACTTGACCTCGGAAGCAAAACTCCGGGAGCGGTCGTCCCGGAAGCGGAAGTCTCGAGGTTTAGTCCCGCCCCCCCCCGCCGCTTAGTCTCCGCGGCCTCCAAGCAGTAGCTATGACTGCGCGCGGGACTCCGAGCCGCTTCTTGGCCAGTGTTCTGCACAATGGACTGGGTCGCTACGTGCAGCAGCTACAGCGTCTGAGCTTCAGCGTCAGCCGCGACGGCGCCTCGTCTCGCGGCGCCAGGTGAGCCAAGGGAAGTGCGCGGGCGCGGGTCGGGGTGGGGGTGGGGGTGGCAACGACTCCCCGGGTAGGTCGCCCCCAGTCAGGGGTCATATTGCTCACTCTCCCGGGTCTTTTAGGGAGTTCGTGGAGCGGGAGGTGATCGACTTCGCCCGACGGAACCCAGGGGTCGTAATATATGTGAACTCGCGTCCGTGCTGCGTGCCCAGAGTAGTGGCCGAATACCGTGAGTGGGGCCGGGCTCCGGCTGGAGGGCGGGATCGGGGGCTCGGCCCGCTAGCCTCCCTCTCTCCTGGTCGCACCGGCCAGCTTCCGCCCACTCACACCCACTCTCACCCCTCTTCTGCTAGTTAACGGGGCTGTGTGCGAGGAGAGCATCCACTGCAAGTCGGTCGAGGAGATCTCAACGCTGGTGCAGAAGCTGGCCAACCAGTCGGGTTTGGACGTGATCCGCATCCGCAAGCCCTTCCACACCGACAACCCTAGCATCCAGGGCCAGTGGCACCCCTTCACCAACAAGCCGACCACTTTCCGCGGGCTATGCCCCCGAGAGGTTCAGGATCCTGCCCCAGCCCAGGTGCAAGCACAGTGAAGAGTTGCTGCACCGACTCCAACCCCAGGCTTTGGACTGTTTCTCCAGTAAAGGTGGTTCTTCCCCTTTGGGATTCCAAGCCCAGGTAAATGGAACCCATCAATGGGCAAGTTGACAGAGGTTCTGCTTGGGATAAAGAAGAGCTGCCTGTTTCTTTCCAGTGCCTGCTTCTAGGGGCAGTGACCTTGTGAACCCCTAATTTTTATCAGTTAGCATCCCTAAAACCTGAGATGAGGAAGACTTAAAGGGTTTTACAGGGCCCTTGTTTTTTAAATCCAAATTGATAATAATGATCTCAAAACACAATGAGAGGTCTGAAGGCTGGCTTCTGAAGAATCCCTGATGTCTTACTGGTACAACCACTGAGCTATGGAGAGCTCTGCTGTGATGGGCTAGGCACTTTATATCTGTGTGAATGTGTGTGTGTATAGATTTATAAAACTGAGGTTAATAAACTTATCCAAAGTCACATTTCAGGTCTGTCTTCAAAATGTGTGCATATGTTCAGCACAAGCTTCAGTTTTCATTATTTTAAAACTAGACGCAGAACATATAACAACCATCAGGTGGTTAGTATTAAAGGCCAAGTGATTAATCTAGGCCTGACCCTTGAAAGGGAGAGGGGAGTTATTTCCTGGCTAACAGGCTTTCTGTGGTCTTAGCTATACATCTCCTTCCTCCCACGTCCCTCTTTGTGCAGAAATAAAATCCATGTCCCTTGAGCCAGCTGGTGGGGGGTGCTGAGAACCTTGGGGAAGGGCAGGAAGGCTGATTAATATTTTCTAGTCTTAGTTTAAAAAGGGGGGATGGTGGGGAAATGAGAGCCAGAAAATAAAAATCTAGAAATCCTCATAAGAATTCTTGAACCGTTGTCATTTTCTTGTCATGCCCTAACACCATGATCAATGAATAGTGTGAACCTTAATAAAGAGACCTGCGTGCCTGCCAAGGAGTCTGGATGGAAGCAGAGGATCCCACTTTCCTCTGCAAATAGTTGTATTAGGGAGCAGAGCCAACCCTGGAAGCAGACATCACTGCGGCAGCTGTATAGGCTCAGGAGCCTGTCCCCTGGTGATCAGGGCTGGGCCCATCTAGATGAAGCAGACTACGCATAGCTGTGGGGAAAGAGGGTGTTTATTAACCAACGGCAGGGGGAGGAGCTGAGCCCAGGCTCCCCACTCTGTCACATGCCTGTTCCACCCACCTGGTGGTAAGTGGGGGCATTCCTAAAGAAGTATAGCCATTCTCACAATAAATACATTCATTGTGGGGTGGAGGTGGGAGAGTTTGGGTGAAGGGCAGTAAAAACGCGTGGGATTCCACGTTCTCAGCTACAAAAATAACAGTCATCCTCACCCGAGGGGAATGGGGGAGCTCAGTCAGAATTGATTGTCCCATATAGGCCTAGAGACTTCAGAGGTCCCTGGACCCTGAAAGTGCCCCGGTGAGGTAGGACAGGGGTAGGAGCTAAGCATCCAAACTCCCAGCCGCTGCCCTTTGCATAGTTCCAAGAACGGGCTTCATATGCCATTGAGACATCAGATTTCTCCTCCCTTTCCCTGCTGTAGTCTAGGGGAAGCGAATGCTTGGTTCCCCCAAAAGAGAGGCTGGCTCATTGAGTGCAGTGTTGGTCATCCATCCTAAGGTAGGGCCTGTGAGGACAGCTAAACGGGAGGGGGATCTCCCTCTGAAATGTCCACGGACCAAACCCAACAGACACAGGTCCAAGGCAGCAAGGGGAGGCTCAGAGGTGCATGTGAGTGGAAATGTAAGCACATGTGTGACACAGGTATGTTGCCACATGTGCATGGGGATAGGACATGCCTGGAGCTCTGTCTCTGATACTCTTGAGAATGACCAAGGAGAGTGGGGAGGCTGATTCACAAGGGCCACACAGGAAGGGAGAGGAGGGGAGTGATGCAGTCTTACCTCCCCAGGCTGGCCCATTCCCAAGCTCTTGACAAAGAGGTCACCACATGGGGCTGGGGAAGAGGACCAGATAGGATGTGGCAATTGGGAGGGTACCCCAAGTCCAGAAGCAGGGATGAAACAAGAATGCACCAGGAGAAGGTGAGGGTAGGGGCACTGCAGCCCAGCCGATAAACATTCTTCCACGTGTGCATGTGAATGTACCCAGGGCTTAGGTGGCTGGCAGAGGTCTTTTCTGGTTTCAGGACCATCCAGCACACAGGGCCGTGCAGAGGGTGGTGACATTGAGCCCATATGGACCTGCAGAGCCCTGCCTGGGAGAAAGAGAAAGGGTTTGGGCAGATGAATGGAACAGGAGGATGGAGTCCTCGCCTCTTAAGTGTTTAGGTTAGGGGATAGGAACTGGCTCTGGGTCTGCAGGGCACCTGATCCTGAGGGAGCACCTACCTCTGAGGAGCACCGATGGGCCTGGGCTGCTCACATGTGGGTCTGTGGAGACTGAGGAGGGGGCTTTGGCTGGGCCTGACTGGCCAGCCCTACAGGGACATCAAAAAGTTGGGAAAAGGGCATAGAGTGGGGGGAATGAAGGTAGGGTGGCTGTGTTAGGGAGGCAGTGGCCCAGCCTGGGACAGACAGGCTGGCTTGGAAGAGCATTTGTTCTGGGAGGCTGGGCTCAGACAGAGCTCTCATCTAGCTGCTCCACAAGCTGCGTGTGCTTCCTTTTCTCCAGGATGCGGCTGAGTTCCTCAGCGAAGGAGCAGGGCCCTGCTGGTACTCCATTGTTGCTCTGCCTCAGAAGCACATAGCTATTGCCATTCATCCTTCGCAGCCGGCTGGGCAGTGCCACCAGGCCGTTGGTCAGCTCAGCCGGTGGCAGTGGGGGCGGTGGGGGTGGTGGGGCTGGGGCTCCCTCCCCAGGGATGATCTGGAGACAGCTGCCCTCCAGGCCTCCAGCCCCCTCCTCCTCATCGCCCTCATCTTCCTCTCCAGGACACTGGCCTGAGACTGTCTGCAGTTGCACAGCAGATCCTCCTGCCCGGCTGGCCCGACCCAGTGAGTATTTCCGTCGGTGCCCTCGTCTGCCTTCCCGCAGACAGGCCACATAGAGGAGGGAGGAGGCCAGGATGAGACAGAGGCCACCAAGCGCGGCAATGGCTAGCACATAGAGCAGTCTCACATCAGGTGCCAGCTGTGCCCCAGGTGTGTCAGGGGCTTTCGGAGCTGGGGCAGGAGTGGCTGGCCGGACCACGAGGCTATAGGAGGCCAGCAGGGTGCGGAGGCCATTTTCCTCAGCATAGCAGCCATAGTTGCCACTGTGCTCAGGCTGTGCATCTGTCACCAGCAGCCCATCCACACCCACACGGTAGCCACCCTGTCCATCGCTCAGGCCCATGCTTCCATTGAGTAGCCACAAGGCCCGGGCCAGGTTGGATGGCTGGTCACAGGGCAGGAGGACATCATCACCCCGGAGCACAGAGCGGGTCTTCAGTGGTGGTGGTGGCCCTGTGGAGGTTGGGGGAGAGGTCAGTACCAGCCCATCTCAGGAAGGGATTGGAGGTGGCAAGCCAGACTGTTGACTGCCAAGTCCCTGGCACCAAGCACAGAACCCGGAATCACCGTGACAGCTGACCCAGGCTTTGTGCTCATGCTTCCACATAAGGTTCACGTTGGCCCTTCCCAGGAAGCAGGCAGTGCCCTTTTCCATTCTCTCTCCATTCTCTCATCCTCTCCTGTAGTTTCAATTTCTGCCATCTGCCAGTAACTCCTAGTCTCTCCCTCAGACTTCTCTCCTGAGTGCCAGACTTGGATATCTACCATGTGCTGGGCATCTCCATATGAGGTCTCTTGGACACTTCAAAGGCCAAAGCTTTTCTCCCAAACTACGCCAGGTCCTTTCCTTGAATTGCCACCACTATGAATGGCACCACCAGCCATACAGTTGCTTAAGTCAGAAACCTGGGAGTCTCCCTCCTCTTCTTGTTCGCCTTTTTTTGTTTGTTTTGTTTTTTTGAGATGGAGTCTCATTCTGTCACCCAGGCTGGAGTACAGTGACGTGATCTCAGCTCACTGCAACCTCCGCCTCCCCAGTTCATGCAATTCTCTTGCCTCAGGCTCCTGAGTAGCTGGGATTACAGGCATGTGCTGCCATGCCTGGCTAGTTTTTGTATTTTTAGTAGAGACACGGTTTCACCATGTGGGCCAGGCTGGTCTTAAACTCCCGACCTCAAGTGATCCAACCGCCTTGGCCTCCCAAAGTGCTGGGATTATAGGCATGAGCCACTGTGCCCGGCCCTTCTTCACGTTTGTATCTAACTCTCACGAAGATTCGGTTTCTGGCATCTATCTTAGACCTATTGATCTCTCTCCTTCCATGACTTCTGGCCCACTCTGGCCCCATGTAATCCATTCTCCAAGAGAGGTATTTTAAAAACACAAATCTGATCTTGCCACTCTCCGGCCTAAAACTCTTCAGAGATTTCCTGTTGCTTTTCGGATAAAGACCAAAATCTTCAACATGGTCTTTGCCCACTTGTCCAGCCCATTCTCCTGTCTCTCAAATGTGCCAGCCTCCCTCTGCCTGCTGTTCCCTCTGCTTGCATGTCACCCCATTACCCCATGTCGTCTGCTTGCCTGGCTAACTTGTGGGAGATAGCATAATATAGTATAGTGACCAGAAGCACAAAGTCACGTCAGACTGCTTAGGGTCAGGTTTGAATTCTTTCTTCCTTCCATTCCTTCCTTTCCTTCCTTGCTTTCTGTCTCTCTCTCTCTCTCTCTCTCTCTTTCTTTCTTTCTTTCATGAGGTCTCACTCTGTTACCCAGGCTGGAGTGCAATGGTGTGATCTTGGCTCACTGCAACCTCCACCTCCCAGGCTCAAGTGATCTTCCCACCTCAGCTTTCCAAGTAGCTGGGACTACAGACGTGTGCCACCACACCTGGCTAATTTTTGTATTTTTGGTAGAGATGGGGTTTTGCCATATTGCCCAGGCTGGTCTCCAATTCCTGAGCTCAAGCAATCCACTTACCTTGGCCTCCCAGAGTGCTGAGATTACAGGCGTGAGCCACTGTACTCAGCCAGGTTTGAATTCTGGTCCAGTTTCTTAATAGCTGAATAAGTTTGAGCAATTTACTTATACTCCCTGGGCCTCAGAGAGGTCCCTCATGGGGACGATAATAATGGCACCTTTCTCATAAGAATGCTGTGAGAATAAATGACATCATGCATAGAATTATTTAGATCAGTGCCTGGCACACAGTAAATACTTAATACATCTTAGCTATGATGATTAACTTTTGTTCTTTCTTCAGATATCAGCTCAGTCATCTGATCTCCCTTGGGGAAATACCCATTACGTTCCTGAACCCTTGTCATCTGCTACTTGGCTATAAGCTCTAGAAGTGACAACACACTTCACATCTTGAATGTGTTTCCTAGTTTATAATTCATTTGGGCAGTAAATGTTTGTTGAGCACTTACTCTGTGCCAGGCTCTGCGTTTGAGTCATCCTTACCAAATGCACACAGCCAAAGCCACTCAGATCAAACGTGTACGACATAGCAGTAAATGGCAAAGAGGAGAGGCTGTGCAGCTAGACCCACACTCATATGAGTCACTTACCTGTATCCCTGCTGCTCTCACAGCCTCGATTTCCTCTCTCTATGTCCTGTATCAGTGCTGTCCTGGGACAGAAGATCAGGTTTTATGAACAAGGGGAACTGGGTTTCAGTTTCCCAGTGACAGGGTAGATAGGTCTGTTACCAATAACTAGCCCCTGCACTCCCCCAGGCCTTCCTCCTCCACTCAGGCCACATGTGACTCTCACCCCCCACCACTTCCCACCTGCTTCCCTGGGACCTGTTGGCTATGGTGGTGGCTGCCATGCAGGCATGGGTGCCGGGGTCCCAGCCACAGTAGGGGTCTCGGGCCAAGATGCAGTCATAGCAGGATCGGTAGCGGGAGCAGCTGGAGAGTGGTAGCTGGATGACTCCGCTAGGAGCCCCCACATAGAGGCTGTGCTGGGAGCCGCATAGGACAGTTGGTCAGCAATGCCCCCACTCAAACTTACAGATACACAGCCTCTGCCCAACCTCCCCACTCCCTCCTCCTATTTCAGCAAGCCTATATTAAGGGTCACAGAGAAGGGTTACCTGCATTAGAGAGATGACTAGATTTTCCACAGACTGGGGCTCCCTGAACACTTGTGTCTCTTCAATAATGTGCATCCCAGAGCCCAGGACTACGGCCTTGTGGATCCAGCCATCAGCTGGCATGGAAAGAGCAGAGAGTCAGACCCCAACTATGGGATCTGCTCTCAGCACCCTGCAAGAGGCCTAATAGGAACAGCTTAGGAGTCATGAGGTCCAGAGGTCCAGAACAAGGACTCAGCCAGGAGCAGTGGACCCTCAGGACATTGGGAACTCCAGATTAGTCATGGCAGGAATTAATGGATTCAGAAGCATTAGTGATCAGGGCCAACAGGGATCAGGGATTGGGATCAGAAGCACCTGTGCCCAGAAAGAGCAGGTCATAGGTGGGTCCAGCAGGCGTGGTGACAGGTGTCCCTGTAAGGTGTGTGTAGCGTACATTGCGCTTGAGCAGCAGGGGCCGTCCACGTGTGGGCACAACCGGCCGAGCCATCAGTGGGTGCAACTTTACAAAGTCCAGGACCAGGGATGGCAAGTCTTGGGATGAATTGTAGCCTTGGCTGCGCAATGAATCTGTGATACACTGGGGTAGGGGACAAAGGTGGTGAACCTTGGGACTCCACCACCTGCCTGCCCTCTCCACAAGGCCAGACTCACTGACCCTTCCCTGGGCTCTGTCTGCTCAGCACTGGTCCCAGGCCTGGGCACTCACCGAGCCAGGCCGGGGCTCAGGCACCCCACCCTCATAGCGACCCCAGCGCCGGGAACCATCCTGGTATTCCATATAGGGTCCTGCAAAGACAGCCTGGATCTCTGCCAGGTCATAGCGGCAGATGGCTGAGGCCTCCAGGGTCTTCCTAGGAATGGGACATAGGGCAAGGGGGGCGAGTTACACAGAGTCAAGCCTGCCCCCCAACCCATGCTCAGCCTGAAGCTCACTGTTACCCTGGCCAACCCCAGCTGTAGTCCCACAGGGCCTCTCCTGTGAGTCAGTGGACCACTGCATTCATTCTCTGGCTCTATGTGCTTGATGTGCTTAAAATTCTTGATTCTCTACCTTGATGTGCTTAAAATTCTCACTTTGCCAGCACTTTGAGAGGCCGAGGCCAGTGGATCACGAGGTCAAGAGATCGAGACCATCCTGGGCAACGTGATGAAACCCCGTCTCTACTAAAAATGCAAAAATTAGCCAGGCATGGTGGCATGTGCCTGTAGTCCCAGCTACTCAGGAGGCTGAGGCAAGAGAATCACTTGAACCCAGGAGGTGGAGATTACAGTGAGCCGAGATCGTGCCACTGCACTCTAGCCTGGCAACAGAGCAAGATTCCCTCTTTAAAAAAAAAAAAAAAAAAAAAAAAAAATCTCACTTTGCAGCCAGACCTCCCCACAGTGGATCCTATCTCATCTTCACTGACCTCTGCTCCAGCCCCTATGCTGTCCCCAGTTCCTTGCCTCCCCATTGTCCCTGCACTGACCACTGTGTGCTCAGCGTGAAGGCTGCATAGAAGTGTGTACGGCTTGAGGTTTCAGCATCCAGGCTGCAGACCCCACGCAGTGTCTCATACAGTGGAATGTGGCAGATGAGACGGGCTTTCAGGAAGGATGTCCACTTCTTCTGCAGGATCTTCTTCCCTCCCAGGTCTCCCTGGGGAGGTGGGGGTACGGGTTAAGGGGCCAGGGTCAGAGGTCCAACCTCTATACCTGTGCCCCAACATCAGCCCTATCCACCTTGCAGACACGAGCCACACGGGCCACACGGTGACTGCTGCGGCTCTGAGTGAAGCTGCCAGAGCCCTCCTCAGTGGCACGCTCCGTGAAGAAGTAGTATACCTTGTCGTCGTCACCCACTGCACTGGCCTTGCTCTCCCGCACGAGGACGGAGAACACAAACTCAGCATCTGTGGGT